AATGCGACACCTTTGTCCTTTTCCTTGTGCATCGTGTGCATTTACGATCGCTGTAGATAAGAGAACTTGCGGAGCTATACTCGGCATAGTTGTATGCGCGACGTTCGCTGTGAATGAGCTTGGTTGCTGCTCAATCGGCTTTAATGGAATTGCTGTACTCGCGCCTTCTGCTTTCTCATTGGTAAGGTGGAGTAGCGTGTTATGTCGTTTTCCACATGTTTTGCAACCGCCCGATCTGCACAATTTTGCCGTGTGCGCTGAGGTTCCCAAGCAGTTCCAACATAACCTATTTTCTTTGACAAATTTGAAACGCTCTTCTGGTGAAAGCTTCAAAAACTGTGAACATGCATAAATTTGATGAGCCTCCTTGCATTTCAAGCAGGATGCTGTCTTTGAACTGTGGAGTGTTGAAGTCTTTGTCTGACCGTGCTTAATTTGCGATTGTGGAGCAACTTGTGCCTTATTTCTACTGATAGCCTCTAATACATGACATCGATGTTCCAAAAACTCGGTAAAGCTCTGTACAGTGGGAATATCCTCTCCAGAGATACTATTTTCCCATTCCTTATTTGTAGTATGATCCAATTTGCCAGTTATCATATGTATAATGAGATCGTCCCATGTTTCTGTAGGACGGCCAATCGCCTTCAAAGCTCGCATATGCTTTAAAAGTCCGTCGACCAAATGACGAAGGCTTGAATAATTTTCCTTAGATACCGGTTGCAATTCAAACAATGACTTGATGTGTTTCTGAATGATCAGACGCTTATTGTCATAACGCGCCTTTAGCATTTGCCATGCCTGCTCATAATTATCAGACGAAATCTCAAGCGAACAAATTACTTCAGCCGCTTCTCCCTTTAGAGATGATCTTAGATAGTGGAACTTTTGGATCCCAGTAATTGAGAGACTGTTATGAATGAGAGACTGAAAGGTATCGTGGAATGGATACCACTCCTCGTATGCACCTGAAAAAGACGGTAAGTTAATTCTTGGAAGCTTTAAATCGTTAACTGGTGCCTGATTACGCGCGACATTTGCGGTATGCGCTTCTACCATCGGAAAATTCACTACTTCACGAGAGACAATCAATTCTTGAAACTTTGAAATGACGTCGTAATACGTTTCCTCATATTCCACTCTCTCATGCTCGTGATTCTCAGCAAAATCGGGTCCCTCTTGTAATTGCTCTATCTCAGACTGCACTTCATCGAAATGAGCCCATGTAGCTTCGACCCTAACTTTACGCTCTGTCAATTGTGCCACTGTCATGTTGCTAACAGTGTCCGACGCAAGTGTGTTGTGCGCCCTTGTACAAAAT